ATGCATTTATTCTAGAATTTTACACCATTACCAAAGAAAAAAAGAAGTGTTACCAACTGAGATGGATCAGTTTATCTAATTGCAGATCTCCAAAACAGTAGTGTTCCCACCTAGGAAGTTAGGAAGTTGTTCTTGTAATTAAACAGAAAAACTGAGCCCCAAATGAACACACTCAGGTCTAGAAACTATATTATTTAACCTAGGCTAGCTTGCTTCCAAATTTTAGAATTTTTAAAATAAAATATTTTGCATTCTAAGTTACCAATAAAATAGACTTTCAAGTTATTTTAATATTGTTTTCCCCTAAATAGGAACTTCCCATTCTAGCAGTAATTTAAAGGTATTCAGAGAGACACTGAGTCTTATCTTTAGGTTCACAGAACCTGCCACCTTTTTATAGAGGGGTTTTTACTCAACTAGAGAAATCTCTCTAAGAGGATCTTTAAGCATACGTTGTGAACCATAATCCCTCAAAATGCATATATCATAGTAGTTGGCACAAGCGCAGGGTAAATGGGGTGTGTAGGAAAATAACTCTAGCCAGGCCTGGTGGCTCACACCTATAATCCCAGCACTTTGGGAGGCCGAGGTGGATGGCTCACCTGAGGTCAGGAGTTTGAGACCAGCTTGGCCAATATGGTGAAACTCTGTCTCTACTGATAGAAAAATTAGCCAGGTGTGGTGGCACACGCCTGTAATCCCAGCTACTCGGGAGACTGAGGCAGGAGAATTGCTTGAACCCAGGAGACAGAGGTTGCAGTGAGCTGAGATCATGCCACTGCACTCCAGCCTGGGCCACAGAGCGAGACTTCATCTCAAAAAAAAAAAAAAAAAAAAAGAAAAGAACTCTGACTGCTGCTCGGGGTTCTTGATCTCTATCAGAAATATACCAAAAGTCTATGCTCTCGCAAGTGTTAGACAGCTATTTGATTTGTTCTCTGGATAGTTACATACATAAAAACACCACCACTCAATAGGAAACTTTAATAATTCATAATTTTAGTCTAGTTTCTTAGAAGATCCCAGAGAAAAAGAGTGGCATTTCTTCTATTTCAGGTTTTGTCTGATCTAAGTGCTCTAACTAGTGTCTGCGTTGGTAAAGAAACCAGCAGTGTACCAGTGTCATTCTTTAGGACAGCCATAGAAACCACAGAATAGTAAAACTAAAAGCATAAAAATTAAGATGCACTCCCTTCTACCTTTTGGCTTATAGCTATGGATGATCCCCATTTTTTAAACTGTGTAACTAAATAGTATTAAAAGGTTCTCACACTTTATTTTTTATTTCATTTTATTTTATTTTTTGAGATAGGGTCTTACTCCGTGACCCAGGCTGGAGTGCAGTGGCGCAAATACAGCTCACTGCAGCCTCGATCTCCCAGGCCCAAGGGATGGGATTCGCTTGTCTCAGCCTTCTGAGTAGCTGGGACTATAGGCACGTGCTATCACACCTGTCTAATTTTTTTGAAAGGTTCTCACATTTTAAACAGTAGTTCAGTAGTTCACTGTTAGGTCAAACGACTATCAGAATTCTCCCACCCTAAGTCCATGCCACTTTTGGAGAAAACATAAAAGGGGGCATGCACTGTTTACGAATATTTTGTTTGTTTGTTATTTGAGACAGAGTCTCACTCCGTCACCCAGTCTGGAGTGCAGTGGCATAACCTCGGCTCACTGCAACCTCCGCCTCCCGAGTGCAAGTGATTTTTGTGCCTCAGCCTCCCGAGTAGCTGGGACCACGTTCACGCCACCATGACCTGCTAATTTTTAGTAGAGAGGGGGTTTTGCCATGTTGGCCAGGCTGGTCTCAAACTACTGACTGCAAGTGATCCACCTACCTCAGCCTCCCAAAGTGCTGGGATTACAGGCATGAGCCACCATGCCTGGCTTTTATTATTTATAATTTTTATTTATTTTTTGAGACAGGGTCTCATTCTGTCGCCCAGGCTGGAGTGCAGTGGTGTGATCTCAGCTCACTGCAACCTCCACCTCCTGGGCTCAAGTGATCCTCCCACCTCAGCCTCCCAAGTAGCTGGAATTTCGGGTGTGTACCACCACACCCGGCTAATTTTTTGTATTTTAGTAGAGATGGGGTTTCACCACGTTGGCCAGGCTGGTCTCAAATTCCTGACCTCAAATGATATGTCTACCTCAGCCTCCCAAAGTGCTGGGATTATAGATGTGAGCCACCATGCCTGGCCTGTTTACAGATATTAATGTCAGGAGTTAAATATCTTCAAGTCCAACCTATGATAAAAGACCAATGCTTCCTACTACTTGTTGGGGTTCACTATTTACTTTTTCTCAGGAGTATCACAGGAAGATCACAATTACACCACTTTAGACTGTACACGTAGCAATTCACAACTTACTCCTGTGTGTTTAGATGTATCTGGAAGACCTGTATCTGTTAATGAACGTTGTTCACTGTAATGGAGGGGAAAACAAGATTCCTGCATCTGGGCCCTTGACTGATAATTAAAGGGGTTCTTGTTACCTGCTCTCCCTGTTACATGCATCTGTCCACTTGGCTAACTTTTAATATGTATATTTTTATATTATGTAAGTTCTTAACTGGCCTATCTCGTTTAAATTGTATACATCATTATATTTGACATTACTGTAACTACTGTACAATCAATAAAATTCCTATGAGAAACACTGCTTAAAACAAATATCATACTGAAGGGTGACCTATATTCCACATTAGTTGGTGGTCACTTTATTTATAGGATGTTTAAAATAAATATATTTTAATGAACTAAGCTGAAGAAAAGCACAATTAAAAGCTATCAAAAAAATTGATACCCAGTGTTGAAAGTGGGGCCAGGTGGGAGGTGTTTGGATCATGGGGATAGATCCTTCATGAATGGCTTGGTGCCTTCTCTCCAGGTAATGAGTAATTTCTCACTCTATTAGTTCTCACAAGATGTGATTGTTAAAAAGAGCTTTGCACCTCCTCTTTTCCCGCTCCCTCTCTTACCACATGACACTCCCGATCCCCTTCTCCTTCTGCCATGATTAAAGCTTCCTGAGTTCCTCACTAAAAGCAGAACCTCGTGCCTGCCTCTTGTATAGCCTGCTGACCTTTTAACCAAGTAAACCACTTTTCTTTCTAACTTACCCAGCCTCAGCTATTCCTTTAGAGCAAAGCAAAATGGACTAAGACACTTCTTTCCTGGACAATTCCTTTATGGGTATGTTAGGCTTTGATGCTCTAGGTTTCCTGTTTTTGTGTTCCATGGCTGAGCAAGACCCTTTGTTTATGAACATGAATTCTTTTAAATAATTACTATGCAATATATCATACACATAAAATGTGTATGCCTAGCAATAAATAATAAAAAGAATAACTGGACACCTATACTGAGGATAAGATATAAATAATGCCAAGAATTTTTGAAGTTCCATCTTTCTCAGATTTCAACCTTCTTCTCTTTTTGAAATTTAATCATTATCCTGAGTTGTGAATCAATTACTCCCTTGCCTTTTTAAATGATGTTATTTTATATGAAAATAATATAGACTTGCAAAAAATTGAAATTATTGACTATCCTTGTTAATTGTGTTTTCACTCATCATTGTGTTAAAGATTCATCCATGCTCATGTATTCAATTCTAGTCTAGTCTACTCACTTCTGTACATTATTCCATTATATATCCATGTTATTCCTGATGGGCTTTTCAGTGGTTTTCAGTTTGCTGTGCTAGGCTTTACAAGTTGCTATGAATACTCTTTTACATATCTTTCTGTTACTATTGGCCTTGGAACCATCCGCTTTCTTTAGAAGACTGTGTACTTCTACTTTTAATCAATTTTGCATTTATCTTGCAGTTACTCTGAGGGAAACTTTGTTTTCCTCATTCTGGCATTCTTAGTTAGCAGTTTACTGTAGCCCTTTGAAAATATGCTGACATCACCTTAGATAATTCATTCACAGAAACTATTAAATTAACACAGTAATGCCAATGAACTGTCTCTGTAGAGCTGTTTTCTGTTCCTTAGAGGCCCCACAGAAACCTCTGACATATTGTGGGTGGTATGTAAGAGATTTTATAGTTCTATGACATCACATAATTTCTTTTTCCATAAAATTGTGTTGGTGTTCCCTACGTATCTTAAATTGAATTAACTCTAAATAAATATATGAGAACTCTAGTGGCATAAGAAAAAAAGGAAGTACTACTTCTATCTCAAATAGGTGAAGCCATTACTCATTTCAATGTCCACTTTCAATTGATCAGTTGATTTCAGCCTTCATTACACTGAGGGTCTAAATTCTTTTCACTAAAGGAGCCTGCCAGATTTAACAAATAAAAATAGAGGACACCATGTTAAATTTGAATTTCAGATAAATAATAAATAAAATTTTAGTGGCAATATATCTAATGTATATTTGAGACCTACTCATACTAAAAAAAGTATTCATCCTTCATCTGAAATGCAATTAACTATGCATACCATATTTTATCTGGCAACCCTATATCGATTCTACCAGTTAGAGCACTCAAGGTTTCCCTCAAGCTGCTCGATTTAAGATATTTCTTGTATGTCAAAAAGTCACTAGCTGTGGGACACTTAGCTAACTTTTCACTGTTCTTGCCTACATCTTCATTTTATAGAGTACATTACCTTCAAGCAAAACACTGAGAGGCTTCTAAAAACTATTTTGCTTAAAGAGGATCACTTTTGCTCATGGTTCTCTAATAAGAACATTTTCCAAGGTGCAGCAAGTTTCATCTTCAAAAACCCGCAGCTACTCACAGTGTAAGATGCCTGTCGGGGTGGGGCTCTGGGCCTGGAAAACCTAGAGCAATCTGGATGCTGCGAGGAGGCGAGCAGGTAAGAAGCTTTCTGAACCTCATGGGATCCCATACTGGCAACTGCCTTGTCAGAATAGTTTATTGTCCCCTTTAGCCAATCAGATTGGCGTTTGATTGCCACGCGCTTACTTCCTTCACGACCATCAGTCCTAACCGCAGGCCAACTTTCTTCCCAGAGCTTTTAGGGGCCTGGCCTTTGCAGTTCCAGATCAACTACAGCAAAGATCGTTCGAGATGTCCCACCAAGAGGGAAGCACAGATGGCTTACCAGACTTAGGGACTGAAAGCCTGTTCAGCAGCCCAGAGGAGCAGTCTGGAGCAGTGGCGGCGACAGAGGCCTCCTCAGACATTGACATAGCGACCTCAGAGCAGAGTGTGACAATGACCGGAGATGACAGTGATACCAGGGATGGTGGATTCCCCAACGATGTCGGCACAGAAAATCGAAGCTCAGACCGAGAAAGTGCAAGTGAAGACATCGAACTTGACAGCATGGAGGACTTTGAGCATTTCCTCATGAGTGGTGAAAGTTTATTCCATTACCCTTTGGTGGGAGAGGAGGAGACAGAAAGGGAGGAGGAAGAAGAGGAGATACAGGAGGAGGGAAGGGAAGAGGCGGAGGGAGGGGAGGAGGCGGAGGAGGAGGAGGAGGAAGAAGAACAGCCTCGGGCGGGTCCACAATGCAGTGGTGCCAACCATGAGCAGTACTTGTTAGAGGAGGATCAGGCGCTGGAGGAGTGGGTTTCCTCAGAGACATCTGCCCTGCCTCTACCTCGCTGGCAGGTCGTTACTGCTCTTCACCAGCGGCAGCTGGGTTCACGTCCCCGATTTGTATATGAGGCCTGTGGGGCAAGAGCCTTTGTGCAGCGTTTCCGCCTGCAATATCGTCTTGCAGACCATGTCGGTTGTGTCAATACTGTACACTTTAACCAGCGTGGCACCCGGCTGGCCAGTAGCGGTGATGATCTAAAGGTGATAGTGTGGGACTGGGTACGGCAGAGGCCAGTACTCAACTTTGAAAGTGGTCACACAAATAATGTCTTCCAGGCCAAATTCCTTCCTAATTGTGGTGATTCCACCCTGGCCATGTGTGCCCGTGATGGGCAGGTACGGGTAGCAGAACTAATTAATGCATCATATTTCGAGAATACTAAGTGTGTGGCCCAGCACAGGGGACCTGCCCACAAGTTGGCTCTGGTGCCTGACTCTCCTTCTAAGTTCCTCACTTCAGGTGAAGATGCCGTTGTCTTCACCATTGACCTCAGACAAGACCAGCCAGCTTCAAAAGTTGTGGTAACAAGAGAAAAGGATAAGAAAGTGGGACTATATACAATTACTGTGAATCCCGCCAATACCTACCAATTTGCAGTGGGTGGACAAGATCAGTTTGTAAGAATTTATGACCAGAGGAGAATTGATGAGAAAGAAAACAATGGAGTGCTCAAGAAATTCACTCCTCATCATCTGGTTAATTGTGTTTTCCCAACAAACATCACCTGTGTTGTGTACAGTCACGATGGCACAGAGATTCTGGCCAGCTACAATGACGAAGATATTTACCTCTTCGACTCCTCTCACAGTGATGGTGCCGAATACACTAAGAGATTTAAGGGGCACAGAAATAATACCACAGTCAAAGGTGTTAATTTCTATGGCCCCAGGAGTGAGTTTGTAGTGAGCGGTAGTGATTGCGGGCATATCTTCTTCTGGGAGAAATCATCCTGCCAGATCATCCAGTTCCTAAAGGGGAACAGAGAAGGTACAATAAACTGTCTTGAACCCCACCCTTACCTACCTGTGCTGGCGACCAGTGGCCTAGATCATAATGTGAAGATCTGGACACCCACAGCTAAAGCTGCCACTGAGCTTACTGGATTAAAGAAGGTGATTAAGAAGAACAAGTGGGAACGAGATGAAGATAGCTTGCACCATGCCAGCCTGTTTGACCAGTACATGCTTTGGTTCCTCATGCGTCACCTGACACAGAGAGGTCATCACCGGGGCTGGAGAAGTGGTGAAGCCGAATTTCCAGATGAAGAATCGGATGAGTCTTCCAGCACCTCAGAGACATCCGAGGAGGAGGGCCAAGACCGAGTGCAGTGCATGCCATCCTGAAGGCCTCATACCCAGTCCAGCTAGATGCCACCTAAGTACACTGGACTTTAAAATTCAGTTTGACTAATTTAGAATTGTCAATAGATTAATAGATTTGCTTTTTGTCTTCTAATTTCCACCATATATGCTGAAAACCATCTCTTCCATTCCTTCCTCTCTGCTTTCCTTTCTTTCTTCCATACATTCCTTCTCTCATTCCTTTCCTCTTGGTTTCTTTATGCCTCTTTTGTTACCCCTTATTCTTACATGAGTGCATACGCAACTTATTTATGCCTCTTTTCCCTTGTTCCCTTATAGTTGACCTCTAGATTTTCCGAATTTTGTTGAAAAAATTAATACCCTTATTAGATGCATCTACTCAAATCTGACATTCTGAAAACAGTTACCTTTTTACTTTTTTTCATCTTTAACAATTTTTTCTGAAGATCAAGTTCTTCAGTTAACCTGAAAATTTCAGAAATATGTTTCTTCTTTAGAAGTAAAATAAGACAAACTATAGTTTTGTTCTGTCGATACTGACACTTGGCTGCACACACACAGTCTCAGAAAAGGAAAAGAGAAGTAGTGTGCAGATTAATTCCTAACACTTGGCCATGCACACACACAGTCTCAGAAAAGGAAAAGAGAAGAAGTAGTGTGTAGATTAATTCCTAACCAGATAATTCATTCCCTCAGAATAAATAACATGAGATTGTCTACATTTTCTGAATCCATATATTAATTTTTAAAAATTTGAGTACACTGTAGCTGGTAAGAATTAAATTTGATCACATGACATTGTTTACTCTGTGCATTAAGTTTTCTTAAAGTTTTAAGGTTGGGAACTCCTACAGGGTTACCTTCCAGGAAGTCCTCCTGGGACAGCTATTTCCTGTAAATGCCAGCTACTGGTATAAAACTCTCTCATATTTGAAAATACATTTTAATTAACTTTTAAGAACAAGTTGCAATAAAAATTGTTTATACTTACACATAACCGTTTGGTGTAATTGGTAGAAAAATCCTATTTGACATCCTCACATTGCTTAAAATTCTCTCTGCTGTTTAAATTGCTTTAAAAATTGTTTTATGCCTCATTTAATATAAATTAAATAAGGGCACTGGATGTCCAATTACTGCTCAATAAAAATATTCGTCTTTATTTTATATGTGTTATTTGTGTGAATGAATTCAGAAGATCCCCTTTTCCCCAACACCCATGAACTATACCACACCATTCTCTGTAGACTTTTCTTGGGAAAGAAGGATGTAATGAAACATCCTATGTCCTGACAATGGCTTTTCTTTGATAATACTTCTTGAAATGAGTATTATCTCTGTGTTTTTGGGAAAATGTAGAGCAATTTGCATAATGAGATTAGAATTTAGAGTGGAACATAACGACCGAAGTTCCTGCTCACTGAGATCCAAAGTTAGGGACAACTACCCGGGGGTCTGGGAGCCTCAAGAAGCCCCTACCAAGGTCTGCTGTCAGGAAAGGATCTTAAGAGTCCTAAAAGAGAATTTACGGGCCATAAGAAGAGAGTTAAAACTAGAATTCCAAGTTTGGGGCACCCTGTATAACTTCATGGGGTACATACCAGCAATAATACTAACAAAACATTTTTAAAAAATCATTTGGGATTTCAAGTGACAGTGTCAGTGTTAGCAAAAGTGAAAGCAGATAAATTACGCAGTTCTTTCCCCACCTGCTGTTTAGAAGGTCTGCCTCTGGGGGATTTATACTCTGCTCACTTAGCCGAACTAAAACTTTACTCAGAGTTCCCTGAATGGTTCTGAGATAGCTTGTGCTACAAGAGGCATTTGGTAAAACATTTAGGAGGCAAAGGTAAAGTAGTAGCCACATTTGTTTTATGCTAAGAAAGGTGCTACTACAGCTCATGAATATTTTTGCTTATATCCTGGCTTACCTTGGTGTGGGGACAGCAGCTGGGCCCACAATTGCTCCAGTTCTCCTTCATATCTTCCTTCTCCCAGCTCCATAAAAAAGAATGCCCACTTTTTTTGGCAGGACATTCATGTCATTGAAATTGGAGGTTTAGAGGCAGTGGAAGATCAACATGGGTCCCAGTCAGTCCTTGAGAGCTCCAGATATTCCTCATGGATTCTATTTACCCTTGCTTCCTCTACTTTGCAACATCTCTTCTTCCTGACTTCCCTGCTGACTTCAGGTTCCAGCATATGATGCAAAGACAAAAGCCTCACTGAGACTGATTAACCGGCTTTCACAATTCAATAAGGCCTAGACCCTATTATAAGTCCCTTATTATATGTGTATCACCCCCATATGTGTATCATCTTATATTTGTTCAATCAGAGTGTTTGTTTCTCTGATTGAACCCTGACTGATACAACCTCCCCCACATACTTTGGACTGAATAAATCCCCTGGTTACTTAGACTTGGACATTTGCCATCTGGAGGAATTATAGGTCCCTAAAGGGAGAAGTTGAACTTGATACACACACACACACACACACACACACACACATACACACATTCTTACTGACTCACTCAGAAGTGGCCCAGTCCTGGGAGCAGGAGACAAAGGGAAGGGTGACATGGTAAGAACCCCATTCTTCCTCAGTGCTGGGGAACTGGAGAACACCACCTCCTTCTCCTGGCCGGCTCCAGGCTCTAAGAAGGAAAGGAGATGGAGTCTCAGGCTTGTGGCTTCCTGTCTACACTGCTGCTCCCTGGGTTGGAAGGTAGCTAAGAGATCTGGGGAGAGAAGGGGACAAAATTGGGAAAAGATGTTGATGAAGAAAGATAACAACCAGGGGTGAGGTCTAAAAGTGAATCAAAGGTAAAACACCATTGGCCGGACGCGGTGGCTCATGCCTGTAATCCCATCACTTTGTGAGGCCAAGACGGGTGGATCACGAGGTCAGGAGTTCAAGACCAGCCTGGCCAAGATGCTGAAACCCCGTCTCTACTAAAAACACACAAAAAAATTAGCTGGGCATGGTGGCACGCACCTGTAATCCCAGCTACTTGGGAGGCTGAGGCAGGAGAATCACTTGAACCCGGGCAGCAGAGCTTGCAGTGAGCCAAGATCGCACCACTGCACTACAGCCTGGGTGACTCCAGAGCAAGACTCTGTCTCAAAAAATAAAATAAAAATAACAAAGATAATACACCATTAAAAAAGAAGAGGGGAGAGAAACAAAACTAAAATCCACCCCAAATCCAAACCTGCCTAGAAGAAAAGAAAATCCTCCGGTCTCATAGAGACATTATTTGGCAAGGCTGGCTTTGCTGCAGGAGTGTTTGGGCCTCAGTCCAGTCCTGGAGATGGGGGACACAGCCTCTACACCTCATCCTAGTCCTGGCCGGGGGCAACTGCCTCTTAGTCATCCTCCTTGGCTTCCTCTCTCCCTCGTTCTCTCTCTCCCTGTCTCTCTCTCTCTCAATGAAGCTGATGTAGTATAGGCATACTTTGTTTTATTGCACTTCACTTTACTGTGCTTTGCAGATATTGCTTTTGTTTTGTTTACAAATTGAAGTTTTTTGGCAACTCTGCAATAAGCAAGTCTATCAGCACCATTTTTCCAACAGCATGTGGTCACTTCATGCCTCTGCCACGTTTTGATAATTCTTGCCATACTTCAAATGTTCCTTATAATTTTATCTGTTATGGTGATTTGTAATTGATGATCTTTTCTTTTTTTTCTTAGACAATCTTGTTCTGTTACCCAGGCTGGAGTGCAGTAGTGCAATCATAGCTCACTGCAGCCTCCTGGGTTCAAGGGATCCTCCCACCCCAGCCTCCCAGGTAGGGGGACTACATGCCTGAACCACCACCCCTGGCTAGCCTATTTTTTTACAAAATTTTGTTAGAGGTGGGGTCTTGCTATGTTGCCCAGGCTGGTCTGGAACTCCTGGCCTCAAGTGATCCCCCTGAGCAACTGGGATTATAGGCAAGATGTGATTGGTGATATTTGATATCACCATAGTAACTGTTTTGGCACACCATGAACTGTGCCCATTATAACATGATGAACTTATTTAATCAACGTTGTGTGTGTTCTCAGTGCCCCACTGATCAGCCATTCCGGTGTCTGTCTCCCTCTATTATGGCCTTCCTATTCCCTAAGACACAAGAATATGGAAATTAGGCCAATCAATAACCCAACAATGGCCTCCAAGTGTTCAAGTGAAAGGAAGAGTCACACGTTTCTCACTTTAAATCAAATGCTAGAAATGATTAAGCTTAGTGAGGAAAGCATCAAAAAAGCTGAGATAGGTCAAAAGCTAGGCATCTTGTGCCAAATAGTTGACTAAGTTGTAAATGAAAAGGAAAAGTTTCTGAAGGAAATTAAAAGTACTACTCCAGTGAGCACATAAATGATAAGAAACTGAAACAGCCTTATTGCTGATATGCAGAAAGTTTGAGTGATCTGCATAGATCAAACCGACCACAACATTCCCTTAAGCCAAAACCTAATCCAGAGTCAGGCAGGCCTTAACTTTCTTCAGTTCTATGAAGGCTGAGAGGTGAGCAAGCTGCAGAAGAAAATCATGAAGCTAGCAGAGGTTGGTTCATTATGTGTAAGGAAAGAAGGCATCTCTATAACATAAAAGTTCAAGGTAAAGCAACAAGTGCTGCAGCAAATTATCCAGAAAATATAACTAAAACCATTGTGTTTGTATGTTACATTGCTATAAAGAAGTATGTGAGGATGGGTAATTTGTAAAGAAAGGTTTTATTAGCTCATGGCTCTGCAGGCTGTAAAAGCATGGCACTGGCATCTGCTCAGCTCCTGGTGAGGCCTCATGGAGCTTTTACTCGTGTCAGAAGGTGAAGCCAGAGAAGACACATCACACGGCAAAAAAGGGGAATAAGGTGGCAGGGGTGGGGGGAACATGCTTTTAAACAACCAGAACAACCAGATCTCATGCGAACTCAGAGTGAAAACTCACTCATCACCAAGGAGACAGTGCTAAACCATTCATGAGTGATCTTCCCCCATGATCCAAACACCACCCCCAAGCTCCACCTCCAACATTGAGGATTGCATTTCAAAATAAGAGTTAGAGGAGATAAATCTTCAAATCATGTAATTTCACCTCTTGCCCCCTAAATCTCATGTTCTTCTCACATTGAAAGATGCCATTACGCCCTGCCAATAGT